TGCACCAAGAGCTTGTAACACTCCAAAGAGAAAGGAAAAATTGAAATCGCATCATATGACCCCTTTAATTTTGACATGTTTTTTCTGAAAACAAGACGATAATTTTTACTTGAATTCTTAAATCCTGCTTGATTTAAGAATTTTTTTTGATATTTTGGCTGAAAACAAGACAAAAAAACTAGGTAAGAAAAGCATTTTTTGCAGTGTGTTGCTTCTCTTTAAAGACACTAAAGCGCCATTAAAGGGATACTCCACCCCAAAATCAAAATTTTGTCATTAATCACTTAACCCCATATCGTTCCAAACCCATAAAAGCTTCGTTCGTCTTCGGAACACAATTTAAGATATTTTGGATGAAATACTCCACCCCAAAATGAAAATTTTGTCATTAATCACTTACCCCCATGTCGTTCCAAACCCGTAAAAGCTTTTTTTTCCGATTGACTGCCAAGTAAATTACACTGTCAAGGTTCGGAAAAGTATGAACGACATCGTCAGAATAGTCCATCTGCCATCAGTGGTCCAACCATAACGTTATGAAGTGACGAGAATACTTTTTGTATGCGAAGAAAACAAAATAACGACTTTATTCAACAATTCGTCTATTCTGTGTCTCTCTGCATCACCATTTTGGAGAATATCCACTGAACGCAGGCAGCGTACGCTATTCTGTGTCAGCCGCGACACAAGAATACGTTTTCTACGTGTATTTACGCTTTGATTTGAACGAAAACAGCGTACCCGCGCAGCACGGCTGACACAGAATAGCGTACGCAGTTTGCGTTCAGCGGATGTTCTCCAAAATGGTGATGCGGAGAGACACAGAGACGAATTGTTGAATAAAGTCGTTATTTTTGTTTTCTTCGCATACAAAAATTATTCTCGTCGCTTCATAACGTTACGGTTGGACCACTGATGGCAGATGAACTATTCTGACGATGTCGTTCATACTTTTCTGGGCCTTGACAGTGTAATTTACTTAGCAGTCAATGTGACAGTCACAAGCCTCCCGGTTTTCATCCAAAATATCTTAAATTGTGTTCCGAAGACGAACGAAGCTTTTACAGGTTTGGAACGACATGGGGGTAAGTGATTAATGACAAAATTTTCATTTTGGGGTGGAGAATCCCTTTAAGCGCTGCAGATGATGCGGGTTTTTTTTTTTAAACAGAAGCAGAAACACAGTGAGCAGCAAAATAGATTGATACTTTTGCTAAAACACTGCAGAAAACAACAATGCTGCAAATATAGTTAATTTTACCTATCATACTCCAACCGTTCAAACCAGGTTTGAGGCAGGTTTTTTTCATGTACATTTAGCATTATTAATCAGTATGTTAAGAGCATTTTAAAAATAAACATATAATTGTTAAAATTAGGGAAATTATTTGTAGATGGCAAGGAAAGACAACATAAACATTGAAATTACAAGTTAACTTTGTTTTCTGTTCATGATGAGAGCGTTTAGATTATGTTTGTTTTCAGCAAAATATAAAAATACTCCAGACTTCAAGAGGAAAACTCTGAACCCCCATACAGTATCTTTTCTGTCACATGGTCTTCTGCCTTATGTATCTAAACGTAAAAAATAATAATAGCCTGATAAAACATCTGATGTTATCTTTTAATAATCATATCTAATTGGGCTCAACTGATGAATTTTTTTTTTTTAAGAAAAATTCTCAGAAGCCACTGCTCTTTGGCTCCGAGGATCCAATATCCTCATCTTTGATGACAATTTTTTTTTTCTTTTACAAAGCATTACTGGTGCCTAGATGGAAATGTGTGACTATTCCTCTCTCTCTCTCTCTCTCTCTCTCTCTCTCTCTCTCTCTCTCTCTCTCTCTCTCTCTCTCTCTCTCTCTCTCTCTCTCTCTCTCTCTCTCTCTCTCTCTCTCTGTCTCTCTCTCTCTCTCTCTCTCTCTCTCTCTCTCTCTCTCTCTCTATATATATATATATATATATATATTATCCTGACCTCCTCGGGGTAGGAAATATAGAGACAGACCAGACCTCTTGGAACTTTAATTGAATACCCCTTCATATACCATCGTATTTACATAGTATTCCAAGCTAATTTAAAGAATGTGGGTTTTTTTTTTATATATATATGGTACTTTTTTTTAAATATTATGGTACCATTTTCAAAAAAACATGGTAATATTATGGTACTTCTTTGTCAAATGTCCCTTTTAATTCCCTAAACCAACCTTTCAGAACAAGTTTTTAAATCCGAATAGACCCTCTTTCAGTGTTTAGTCAGCACTAATGATCAAATACTGCTTGAGGTTGATTTTGTAGTGAGAGCTCATGGTATTTGGCTGTACACCTCCAGTGTGTTCTGGGCTCATGTCCAGTCAGGCTCTTTGGCTATCAAACAGACTCAGATCACAGTAGACGTACTTTGTCATTTGGGGGGTGAGCGGGTGTTGACATGTTTGATGTTCACTGTGTATAACCAATATGATCATATTCACAAATTTTAACTGAGTAGTTAATATTTTATTGGATTTAAAAAAAAATTGTAATCAATGGATTATTTGTACCATGGCATGGTAGAACAAAATAAAATTGTGGTATTATGTATTATAAACACTTTTTTTTTTTTATTGTCACTTAAAACCTAATACTTCATTTTGAATTAAAAACAAATATTATCTCTAACCAAATATTAGCTGATGGCATGAAGCCAGCAGATCCATGTTCACACTATGAGTCTGTTTGAGTCCCTGACTGTAATTGACATTTCTCAGAGGTAACGTAGGTTTAACTGAATAACTAAATTTGTCCAGGTGCGCAGCCGGCACATGACGCCTGTTTTCAAGATGTGAACGCGGCGGGGAATGCCTTTGGAAACTGTGGCAAGGACAGTCATGGCAACTACATGAAGTGTGAGAAAAGGTGAGGTGGTATTTTAATATTTCAACCAGCCATATAAGCAATATGTGGTTTCTGTCTTGCTGACCTGAAGTAAAACGAAATCTGCCATTTCTGCAAATAGTTCTGCAACTAATACATTAAAAAGAATAAACCAATATATATATATTTTTTAATTAACAAACTAGTTCAAATAGTTTACAAGGACAGCACTGCAGACTCGGTACTTTTCCGAAGTTAGACTCTTTTTTTTCCTGCTTATTCATAATTCTTAAAACAACTGACTTTTAGATTATTTTTTTATAATATTATTATCTAATTGGCTTTCCTCGTAGATGATTTTATGCTGAATCGCTGTAAGCAAAGATGACTAGTGATCTCTCATATCAAATCCCAACAGTGATGCCAAATGTGGTAAGATACAGTGCCACAGTGCTGCCAAGAAACCAAAGGGCACCAATGCTGTGTCCATAGACACCACCATCCGTACAGATGGCATTGAGGTGAAGTGCCGGGGCACATATGTTTACAGCACCCAAGATGGGCAGGGCGATCTTCCAGACCCTGGACTGGTCATGACGGGCACCAAGTGTGGAGAGGGGAAGGCAAGTTTTATTTATTTATTTGTTTGTTTGTTTGTATTCAAGCTTTATTTTCGATATATAACTCAGATATTTATTAAACAGGATCTGTAGTATTAAGTGAAGATATGTCTCCAAAATAAGTATCTCAATAAAAGCATGTATTTTTTGTTTTGGATTGAAGGGTTGATTTATTCTGTTTTTACTTGCCTTCAGGTGTGCAAAGATCGACAATGTCAGAATGCCTCTTTTACTGAGTTACAAACCTGCATCGCCCGTTGCCATGGGCATGGGGTAAGTGTGTGTGTGTGTATGTATGTATATATATATATATATATATATACAGGCTCCGTCTCCATAGTGTGGTGATGTCATATTCATGTAGCAGCAGTTGTGATGAGAGAACGCGCTTGAGAAACAGTTTAGAGAGAAGAAATCAATCTACATATAAAATATTGGTCACAAATTATTGGTCACTTTCTAAATAATAAAAGTATAGCGCATCTACTAATAAATAAATAAATAATTTTTTACTGATGCAATATGTTAGAAACTATATGTTAGGGGTTTTTTTTCATTCAAGTGCTTCTCCTAAATTATGACTAAATAAAGGCTATGTCTTTGTATTCCTTCTCCCTTTGAGTTCCTCTTTAACCCAGACTGACTCATTGTGGATTTCACACCTCTAACTCCTTTAAAACCTCGCTCTGGGTCGCTCATTTCCCGACACATACTGCCTCTAATAAAAACTGATGCTTTTCATATATTAGCAGAGCTATAGCATTTGATTTGTGTATTTTCTGGTCAAATAGTCGTAAAAAGCCTCCAAGCCGTATACACTCCAATTCTGTCTTTCCTAATCCCTTTGCCCTCCCTCTGTCTCTCTCTTTTGTCAGTTTTTCTTTTATTTCTTTATGGCTTGCTTATTTACCCATTCGCTTTTCAAAAGGGCAGCCAAATACGACAGGTCTTTGAGGGGAGATTAGAGATTCAGAAACTGCTTTTTTATTATTCATTTGCATTATCATTTGATTCATATTGATCGTATGGTTTAGGCAAGTGTGGATGGAGAATAAAGTGAGTGGTCGTGGTATTTGCACACAGCATATTTTCTCTCCATTCCACTGTTCCTGTCTTGCCTCTGGGTTAGATTGAAGCGTGTAAAATATTCTCTGTTAAAAGAAATTCCATTAAGATGAAAGACGGTATATTCTGTATTTGCCCTATACTTCAAAAGACGTGACAGAAAATGTTCCCTGCAATTGCAGCAATGAGGATAGGTAAATGGCTGTGTGTGATTAAAAAAGTTAAAACTGACTCAAACAAATATATATTAAAACCAAACAAGTTGTTTGTAGTGTAGTTCAACCAAAATGTCATACGGTTTGGACATGAGAGTAAGTGAATGATGACAGGATTTCCATTTATCTCTTTAAGGTCAAACGGCAGTGCAAAAGGCATGTGAAACCCAAACCTTCCCGATGGAAATTCTCATCCGCCCTTATTCCAATGTGTGGTGTTGTTTTGCATGCAGGTGTGTAACAGTAATGGGAACTGCCACTGTAAGCGTGGGTGGGCTCCCCCCTTCTGTGAGAAACCAGGACTCGGGGGAAGTGTGGACAGTGGACCTGTACAGTATGACAGTGAGTTCACCTTCAGCTTTCAGTGCACATGTGCCTCTGCTCTCACTTCTTTCTCTCCTATTCTTTAATCCATCTTATAGATAGATTTATCTAAGATTTTATCACTCGTGTGCTCTCTCTCCCGCTTTCTCACGTTCCCTTTCTTCCTCACACCTCTTATCAGATGTCACCTTAACCATTAATCTCTACCGTCTAGCTTTTCTTTCCAGAACTCAGGCCAATGATATCTTTGCTTGTTGAAACATTTCAAGAGTAAATCTAGGAATTAATGAATTTATTACTCACTCATTTCATTTACTGTATGACTGGATCTGAAAAACCTTTTGTTCTGAATGGAATACTAGAATGCGTCTTAATGCATACTTGGTAAACTGTATTTTTATTATTTATTTTTGTAAATAGAATGTGATACAGTATGTAATATGCTAAATATTTCAATCAATAATATAGTCACATGACCTCATACATACACTACCGTTCAAAAGTAAGACTTTTTAAAAAGAAATGAATGCTTTTTTTCAGCTAGTACTTGTTAAAAGGTTAGTTCACCCAAAAATGAAAATTCTGTCATTAATTACTCACCCTCATGTCGTTCCACACCCCTAAGACCTTCGTTCATCTTCAGAACACAAATTAAGATATTTTTGATCAAATCCGATGGCTCAGAGAGGCCTCCATTGACAGCAACGCCACCCAAACTCTCAAGATCCATCAAGGTACTAAAGACTTCGTTAAAACAGTCGACGTGACTACAGTGGTTTATTCTCATACGTTGTTTACGTCCAGCGCTTCCAGGTTCTACATCAGAACGCCGGCTCATTATTGGACGGCTCCTGCATCAGCATCACACGCATGCGTCGTGCTGCTCACATGTGCAGCTTTAGCCAATAATGAGCTGGCGTTTGGACGTAGAACACGGAAGCCTTCACTGTGCATACTGCATTAACCGCGTAAGGATAATGACAGGGAAGAGAAGAGATTGCTGAATAAAG